TGGCGAGCATGTGAGCACGATAGCAAAAACCTCTCCCCAAAAATAAGTGAGCAAATAAAAATAAGAGAGACTATTGTGGGGCCAGCAGGTGGCATAGTGGTTAAGGTGTTGGACTCCCACATGGCTGACTGTGGTTTAAGTCCCAGACCTGGTGACTTGGTTTTTCACTTTCCCTTTCTCTCTCTCTCTGTCTGGTCAAATTAAAAAAATAATAAAAACTATTTCTTTAAAAAAAAATCAAGAGAGTATTGGGCCAGCCAGTGGCATGGTGGTAAGGCAGCTGGATCCCACATGGTTCACTGCACTGTTCGAATCTTGGACCTAACGGCTTGAGAAACATTCTAGCACATGTGTGTGACCAAAATCACACAAGATGGGCGAAGGGAGAAGCGTGACCATGGCGGGGGGACTTTCTCACTGCCTGTTTGTCTCTGTCTCTCTCTCTCTCTAGTGAATGCATGCTTCTCTCTCTGTCTGGTCAAATTAAAAAAATAATAAAAACTATTTCTTTAAAAAAAAATCAAGAGTATTGGGCCAGCCAGTGGCATGGTGGTAAGGCAGCTGGATCCCACATGGTTCACTGCACTGTTCGAATCTTGGACCTAACGGCTTGAGAAACATTCTAGCACATGTGTGTGACCAAAATCACACAAGATGGGCGAAGGGAGAGGTGTGACCATGGTGGGGGGGGCTTTCTCACTGCCTGCTTGTCTCTATCTCTTTCTAGTGAATGCATGTCCTCTGGGCAAATAAAAAATATAGTCTCTTTTTTTCTTTGCCAGAGAGCACGTATGCCTCCAGAGACAGGGAGAAAAAGCATCACTTAGAGGGGTATGGTCATGCTGCAGTCCCTCCTCCTCCACTTCTCTGTCTTGTTGGGATTTGGGGCATGTGGGCGAACAATCCCAGAATTTACTATTTATTTATTAATTTTTGTGATAGAGAAATTGCTGTAGGGCATGTGAGCTTGCAGAGAGAGAGTGAGAAATCACCCCCAGGGAGGATGGCTGCTCCACAATCCCTGCTCTATTCTCCTCTTGGGATTTTGGGCATGCACACGCATGTACCCAGCATGAATTTCGAGCCTCTAGGCCTGGGACTCAAACAGTGGTTGGTCATGTGAGAGTCCAGCGCCCCAACCACTATGCTAACTACTAGCCCCAACCCGGAATGTTTTTCAAGCTGCTGGTGTGGGATTCCAGCCCGTCAACCATGCGGGATTTGGCTCCCTTAGCTGCTAGACGTGGGGGTTGACTTTTGTCTTTTTCTTTAAAAAAATTATTTCTTTTGAGAGACAGACAGTAGCTGCTAGACGTGGGGGTTGACTTTTGTCCTTTTCTTTTAAAAAAATATTTTTTCTGAAAGAGAGACAAACTGTAACCTCAACAGGGTTCTGATGCTGAATTCCACCCCAGCTTTCGCCAGCCCCAGTCATGGGCAGGCGTGTGCCCAGCATACTCAGGAAAGTCCCTGAACCGGGACCCTTCCCACCTGGGATCGCACGCGGAGTGTTTGCTTTACGGCCCTCCACCGTCTGCTGCTCGCCCCCTTCTTTATTACGTGAGACTCCCCAGGGTCTTGGCGTCTCACAGTCCCCCCCACCTCCCAGCCAGCCAGGGTCATGGCACACTCAGGGATGTGTCTGACGTGTCAAGGTCCGCCTGGCCTTCCCACGTGGTTCCAGTACTGCAAAGTGGTGCCCTCGCCTGTGCCACCATGGCTGCTCTGAGAGTGTCTCCTTTGTTTTTATATTTCTGATGAAGCCAGGTTAGAAAGAATGCAGGGACTCACTCAAGGTGGTTCCTGACAGACCCAGGCCTGGCCACCCCGGCATGTGTTGTCAGTGGTCCTGAGTCTGGGGTTCGAACACTAACTCTCTTGTGGATCACGAGTGTCCTTGGAGAAGTCAGTTCGCATCTCTGAATTTCTGTTCTTATGATGGGGCTGTAATCGTTACTTCATGGGCCCTATGAGAGGTTCCATGCACAGAGCACGGGTCAGTTACGGTTTCAGTAGCCAGTCCAACAGGGAAGCTGCTGTTTCTTACTCTTCCTTACTGATGTGCTTTGTTTCTCCCCGACCTCAGGATCCCAGAGGAGGGCACCAGCTGTGGCTAGGAACGGGCAGGACAGAGGCAGAGGCCCACCCCACCCTGGCACTACTGGACAATGACGGCTGAACCCTAGGTGGCCAGAATCCTGAACTGTATGGTCTACACCTTGAGGCACCCAAAGGTACTTTCAGCCGTGAAAGAGGAGAAGCTGGACAGTAGGACAGTAAAAGAAGACAGCGCTGTGGAGCAGTGTTTGTCACAGGGGAGCGTATCAGCTCCTGGGGTCTTGGCAGGGCCTTTCCTTCTGCCCATGCTCCTGAGAGGTCCTTTGCCCCAGGAAGGAGTCCATTCGGTCCAGGGGGCCAGGCCGGCAGTGGATAAAGCTAGAAAGAGACACCAGGAAGAGATCTGGCCAGCTGGAGCTGATTGAACCTGTACAGAAGTCACTCCCTCGGGTGCACGAGTTGGCGGAAGGCCTGAGGGAAGCCATGAAGAGAGAGTGCTGGCGGAAGGCCTGGGTGAAGGTGAGGAGACCGAGCCAGAGAAGGGGGACAGGGCCCTGGGCTCAAGGAGCTCTTTCATCTCCCCCTGCCTGAGGTCAGATGGGGTCTCAGGTCGTTTCAGGCTGAAGCACACCCAGAAGGAGCTCCAGCCCTTTCACGTCTCCCATCACCCTGGCGTCCTTTGTGGGATACTTCTGAAATTTGTCAGAGTGGCATCTTTCTTCCTTTGCTTTATTTTTTCTATTTATATTTACTATTCATATTTCCTTTCCCCATATATTTTTCCTCCTCTCACTCCATCCTTCCTTTCTGTACCTCACGGTTGTGGGCTTCGTGCATCTTTTCCTATTTCTCTCTTCCTTCCGTGGCTTATTTTTCTTGTAGATTGCAAGTTCTCTGAACCTCGGGGCTAGTTGTCAGTCTCTGTAAGATACAGACACCCTGGGACCAGCAGTTAGCGTAATGGTTATGTCACTGGACTCCCATGTAGTTGACTGTGGTTCGCGTCCCGGACCCGGTGGCTTAAAACTCACGCCGGGCGCGTATGTGTGCGCGCCCAAGATCCCGAGAGGAGAATGGAGGAGGGATTGTGGCATGGCCATTCTCCGTAGGGGGTGATTTCTCACTTTCTGTCTCTCTGTCTCTCTCTGTCTGGCAAGCACATGCGCCCTATAGCAAAAAACTCCCCCCACCCCCAAAAATATACAGACACCCTGAGTCTCTCCTGCTCTTCCAGAAGCCAGTCACCTTTGAGGATGTGGCAGTGAATTTCACTCAGGAAGAGTGGGAATGTCTAGCTGCCAGTCAGAGGGCCCTTTACCAGGATGTTATGTCGGAAACCTTCAAGAACTTGGCATCTGTGGGTAAGAGGCTGGGGACAAGGAGGCAAGCCCTCTGTGCTAGGGCCCTGGAACACCTGACTCCTCTGGGCGGTAGATCAGCTCAGAGTTAGCTTCAGCACCTGGTGATCTACCTTCCAGGTGTGGATGATCCGGGTCATTAAGCCCAAGGGTAAGAGGAAAAGAAATGAAACCCTGCGTGAAGGCAGAGACAGCTCTTGTGAGTGATACCAGTGTTCTCCAGACACCAGACCTGTGTCTTCATCCAGCCAGGTACTTGGCTGGAGCTGGCCGTGTGACTGTCTCCCTGCATCTCAGTGCCCCAGATGTGGTTCTTAGACCAAGGATACAGGGGTAGCCTATTGTCCCCAGCAGGTGTGGAGGGGCCGGGCCTGAAACCAACCCAGCTCTTTGTCTCCTTCCTACTTGCCAGCCAGAAGCTTTCTGCCTAAACCGGGTCTGATCAGCAAGCTTGAGCAAGAGGAGGCACGGTGGAGAGCAGCGCTCCGTCTCCCAGACAGAGAAGGCCGCCTCTCAGGTAAGACTGGCAGAGCCCACGTGACCCCAGGAAGGACGGAGAGCTGACTGAGATCGAGGCTCCGTGTACACTCTCTGGCCGACTTCTCTCCTGCCTGAGCAGACTTGGACTGGAAGACATCTCAGTCACAGGCTCCAGTCCCTTGTTCAAGACAAATATCTTCCCTTTCTAGGGATTGAGAGGTTAGGTGTGAATTGTATGTCAATAATACTGCTTTGATTAGAAAGTTCTTTCTGGGGTCAGCCCAAAGCATGGTAGTCAAGGTGGCTGGTGACTCAAACCACACGGCCAGCTGCGGCTTGAGTCAGACCCCACATTGGGTAGGTGTGCATGTGTGCCCAAAACCCCTAAAGGAAAATGGAGGGGAAGGGACTGTGGCATGGCCATCCCCCTGGAAGGTGACTTCTCACTTTCCCTTTGAAGTTTTTTCTGGGCCAGATGGTGTCACAGTGGTGGTGTGCTCTGCAGGGCTGGCCCGTATGGGACGGCTTCAGTCACATCTGGAGACCACCCTGAGCACCTGGATGTGTGCATACCTGTGACCCTGGGCTCCCTGAAGCTGGGAGTGGGCTGTGAGGTGAAGGCCCTACCGGGGATGCCGGTCTCTCTCACAGAAGAAAGACATAAATAACCTGGGGGTAGGTGGGAGGTTTTTCTAAGACAAAAGAGCAGGGAGATGAACTTTATGCTGAGTTGGAGTAGGGAAGTAGAGTAAGAAGTTGAGAGAGAAGTGGCCCTGCTGACCACACCTTCTCCAGCCACTGAGGCTGGGGTTCAGACTGCGGTGGGCTATATGGGATCTGACTCTAACCCCTAAGCCATGGGCTGGCCTTTGATGATTAATTACAGCACTTTCACTCACAGGTGTTCTAATTTGCATGGTACATTGAGTGATCACCTGTGAGTGTCTGGAAGCTCTGAGGGAGTGTGAGCAAAATACCGAGAGTAAAAGACAAGGGATTTGGAGGTCAGCCAGGTGGCATGGTGGTTAAGGCGGCTGGATCTCAAGTGGCTGACCACGTAGTTCAAGACCCATACCTGGTAGCTTGATAAAACTGCTGGGGATGTGTATATGCCCAATAATCCTGAGAGGAAAGTGAGGACAGGGGATTATGGTGTGGCCGTCCCCATTTTGGGGTGATCTTTCAGTTTCCCTCTCCGGTGAACACAAGCTCAGGCATTCATATAGCAAACTGAAGAGAAGGGATTTCAAGAACTGATTTTAGGTTAAAATTTAGATCTCTGATATGGTTAAGGTTCCAGTTACACTTTTATTTGCTTATCATTTGAAAAACAAAAGTTGTTTTTTTTTTTTTTTCTTTTCTATAGCATATGAGATCCAAAGGTAAGGGGGGAAGGGCAGAAAGAGGGGATGTGGCGTGGACTGAACGGGGAGCTTGTGTTGGCATTCGCAGAGTGAATCTTGTTCTTCCGCACTCACCACAGGAGGCAGGAAGGAGGAACTTCGAGACCAAGGTCACAGAGAAGAGGATACTAGTGACGAGAAGGTCCATGTTTGCACAAGGGCAGGCCAGAGCCCAACGGCCGTAACTGGGCCTGGGGACAGGACCCCAGCTGGGCCCCCCTATTCCTGCCACACCTGTGGCAGGAGTTTCAGCAGGCGTTCCTACCTCCTGAGCCACCAGTTTGTTCACAGCCCCACACAGACCAACGCCTGCAGCCAGTGCGGGAGGCTGTTTCGGAACCCCAAGGCCCTCAGCTACCACAGACGCATGCATCTTGGGGAGAGGCCCTTCCGTTGCTCGCTCTGTGACAAGACCTACTGTGACGCTTCTGGACTGAGTCGTCATCGCCGCGCCCATCTGGGGTACCGGCCCCACTCCTGCCCTGTGTGTGGGAAGGGCTTCCGGGACCAGTCTGAGCTCAAACGCCACCAGAAGACACACCAAAACCAGGAGCCGCTGGCTGAAAACCAGGACCATAGCATGAGGACTGCAGGTGCCACCGCTGGGTTCCCGACACTTGGCTGCAGCCAGAGGGCCATGCAGGGGTTTGCGGACGGGAACCATGCCCCAGTGGTCGGGACCCAGGACTCTGTATTTAAAACTGACGATCCAGTGACCCAAACCCAGCCACCTATAGTTAACCAAGCGCCTGTGACCGGGGAGCAGCCACCCTCCTGCCCGAATGCCAGATCCGACTCCCGTTCAGGGAAGCCCTCCAGACTTGATGTGTTCTCCTGCCCCCATTGTCCCCTGACGTTCAGCAAGAGATCCTGCCTCTCTAGCCACCAGAAGGCCCACCTCACAGAGCAGCCCCACCGCTGCTGCCATTGTGGCAAGTCCTTCGTCTCCTTCTCCGAGCGGGTCAGGCACCAGCAGACCCACGGGAAACAAAAGAGCTACCGCTGCCCAGTCTGCGACCTCTGCTTCGGGGACAAGGAGGGCCTCGTGGGTCACTGGAGGAGCTACAGAGGCAAGGAACTGCGGGCGGGCAGCCCGCACAAGTGCCGGGTGCTCCTGGGTCAGTGGCTTGGCTTCTGTCGCGATGCTGCCCCTGTGCCTGAGAAGGGGCAGGAGCATGGATGAGATGGGTCTCCTAGGACCCGCACCCCCAGGAGGGGGAAGGCAGAAGGCAGGCACAGGAGGCAGTGAGAGCCTGGAAACCTGAGCAAACGGCCTCTCAGACTGAGGTCTTCTGTTTGGTTTTCCTGAGGCCCGACCTCCGGGCAAGGAGGCTGGGATGCAGAGCTGAGGCTGATGAAGGAGATACAAGAGAAAAGGGACCTATGCACAGGAAACCCATGTTATTAGTTAGCACCTCGCTTGTTTCTTTGTGTCTGAAGGCATGAAGCAGTCCTTGTTGACGAAAACAGTGGAAACTCTGGTAGATCTAAAGATGGGAGGGGAGGGACAAGCGCAGGGAGAGTCTGAGGTGTGGACGCAGAGAGGACAGGTCTAAAGCAGGCATGTTGCCCAGTCCCCACCCCTCGCTTCCCCAGGTGCGATAGGCCGATAGGCCGCTGCCTGATGAGCTCTGCCAGGATTCGAGGTGCTCTCCACCTCCAGTTTTCCTTAGGGCTTCCATACCCGCCCCTGCAGTTCACTCAGCTCTCTGATGTTTCGGACTCATGCTGTTCCCTTCTACCTTCCACACCTTTGAGCTCTGCCCGACCGGACTGCGACCCTGGAAGAGACGACCGCCATCTGCGAGATTGGTGTGCTGTGATTTGTAACAAGGAGGCTCCTGTCCCCTGTCCTGGAAACCCGCCTGGCCTGAGCCAGGCAAGGCTTCCAAACGGAAGATAGGAGAGAGGGGTGAAAGATGTAGATAGCCACAGGGAGAAAGAAAGGGGAAAAGCACATGACAGAAAAGGGAAATGAATTCTATTTGAATTCTGAGTGTTGCTGGAGGTGTAGATTGGAGGCCCCTGTAGCAAAGAGGCCAGTGAGTGCAACTTGGTGGGTGAGGTGGCCCCGGCCCCACGGACCAATCCCCGGACCAACCAGGCTCTGCTCCACCCCTGCCAAGATGCCACATCACTCAGAACGGGTTTCCTAGAAGAAAGAGAAAAATAACTTAAAAAATCGATACCAGTCATTTCTGCCACAAAATCATTGAACCAGGAACACAACCCTGTGGGGCCATCTTGTCTCTGCGCCTGCCTCGGGGGGATTCTTGCAGAGAGTAGGAAAGGCCAGCTAGAGTGGGGTTCCTGCTGCAGACACAGGGTGGAGCAGGTCAGGGGCAGATGCGGTGCTTCCTGTCGTCTCCTCTGCCTAGCTGGCCTCTGACCGCTGGCCCCCTGGGTGTCCACCTCACAGGAGGAGCCATCGGCCTGTGCTCTCCATGCCTCCTTTCCCCTGGTACTGTGGTCCCTCAACAAAGCCCCTCTTGCTGCTTCTGTCTCCCTTACTGGCTTGTGATTCTCAGCTTACGAGAAAGAGAAGAGAACTTACTTAGTTCTTCAAGAAATTGTCCTGAAAACAAAGAGAAGCAAATAGGCGGTCAGTGGAGGGTAACGACTCCCTCCCCCACATCCTCCCTGTGGACGTTGGGAGTGACCCACACGTCCCTTTCCACTGAGGGACCCCAGGGGCTGGGCATGGACAGGAGGAGGACTATCCTGGTGCCCCAGATCTTGAGCTCTGGTCCTGCTCTCTGGTCCTATTCAGGACTGACTTGGTCCCCCCTGCTCAGTGTCCCAGTTTCCTGCCCAGCCACTGCACCTGCCAGTCTTCGGTGCAGCCAGTTGTAGCAGATGATCAAGGCCACCAGGGGTCCAAGAACCGGCACGATTACAAACAGGGTTATCTTCCAGCAGGGCACTCTCAGAAAGTGGGGATCTGAATTGTTCACCAGAACAGACAGGGTTAACGTGCTTCCTCTCACACCCCACCCACCTTTTTTAATTAGAATTTTTGTTTGATTTTAGAAGAGAGAGATTTTTTGCTATAGGGTGTGTGTGCTTGCCAGAGAGACAGCAAGAAATCACCTCTTGGGGAGATGACCACACTGCAGTCCCTTCTCCATTCTCCTCTTGGGGTTTTGGGCACACAAACCTAGTGTGAGTTTAAGTCACCAGGTCTGGGACTCGAACCGCAGTTGACTACATGGGAGTCCAGTGATGTAACCATTATGCCACCTGCTCATACCTTTTCATTAGATTTTTCTCTTTTTTTTTGGAGAGGTTTTCACTATAGGGCGCATGCGCTCGCCAGACAGAGACATAGAGACAGAAAGCGAGAAATCACCCCCCAGGGGAGATGGTCACGCTGCAATCCCTTCTCCATTCTCCTCTTGGGATCTTGGGCACACACGCACACGTGCCCAGCGTGAGTTTCAAGCCACCGGGTCTGGGATGCAAACCGCTGTCGACTACGTGGGAGTCCAGCGACATAGCCATTACGCTAACTGCTAATTAGATTTCTTAAGCTGGGGTCCAAGAACACCGAAGAACTCAGGACAGAACCCAGAGAGTTCATGAACTTGGATGAGAAAGCACATCTTTATTTTTACTAGCCTCTAACTGAAGTAGAATTGTCACATATCTCAAAAAAATTTTTTTTGAGAGATTTTTGCTATAGGGTACATGTATTCAACAGAGACAGAAAGCAAAAAATCACCCCCACACCTCCCCGTGGGGATTGTGACCATACCACAGTCCCTTCTCTATTCTCTTCTGAGGATTTTGGGCATGCACACACATGCGCCTGATGTGAGTTTCAAGCCACTGGGTCTGGGACTCAAACTGGTTGACCACATAGGAGTCCAGCACTTTGTGGACTGTGCCATCTGCTGGCCCCTTAAAATACTTTTTATATGTTTGTCAATATTTTGAAATTATATGAGTTGTTAGACTTGCTGCTACACTGTTAAATTACTATATTACAACTTTGTTTATATGCTGCTAACTAATTACAATGGTTTTCTTCATAGTCCTATGTATTGTATATACTTTTAAAAATGTTATTCAGGGAAGGAGCCCATTAGACTTGACCAGGCTGCCAAAGAGATTCATGGTGCAAAAAAGAGTCAAGACTTTTGATGTTTAAGTCCTCCAAAAGACCCTATTCCTGCCTGTTGGTCATTCAGAGACTGTGTTTGGGTGTGTCTCTGTGTGTGTGCGTGTGTACACTCAGTGGTTTGACTATGTGCCCCCAAAATGTATGTTTTCAGTGATTTTAATGGGATTAAGAAGGTAAAAACTTAACCTGATGATGCCTTCCACCATTTGTGATGTTTTTGTGCTTTACAGATGCCAGATTTGTAAGTAAATAAGCCCTGTTTCATTACAAACTCACCCAGTCTCAGATATTTCTGTTACCAACGCAGTCATGCACTAAGATGCATGAGGTCTGCACACGGGCCTGACGTCTTAAATCCTAGGGTGAAACCTTCATGCGTGGCAGGTGCCAGGGAGAGAAGAGAGAGGTCACCTACAGCCTCAGGAGAGGCCATTCGGAAAGGTTGCCCAGAGCTGGGCCAGCTCTGCTGCCTGGTGGATACAGGAGCCCGATGCTACATGGCTGCTTGTGCGGTCTGACTCCCAGCCCCTGCAGCCTAGAAAGCATGCTGGCGGAACCACACCCCACTGGAAGGTGCTGCTCTGTCTGGCAAGTACACACAGGTGAAAGTGCTCAAAGCGGGTAATCGCTGTTCTGTCTAATACTGTGTGCCAGCACTTACAAAAGTCTTCAAATTCCTGCAATATTTATTCAACAAATATTGCATGCCTTTCTGTTCTAGACATCGTCCTTAGGCACTGGACAGTCTACCATGACCATGCCCTTGTCGGGGAGGGGCTTGGTGGCTTCATTCTTCCTCCAAGAAATCTTCCCTGATTAGTCATAGGTAGTTACTCATTCTGTACTTCCAACAACTCATTCTGCCTCGTGGATACATAGAGTGGATTATACATATCTTTTTTTGTCCCATTAGTTCAAGTTCAGTTATACCTTCTCAACTAGACCCTAAATGTATGTGCCAAAGATGTGTTTACATCCATTTTATAATTCCTGGAAAGAAAAATAACGTGTACAAGGACTTAACAGAATTAATTCACATTTGTAAAGCTGTTAGTTCAGTGCCAGACACAAGAGTCACATATAGTTCTTTGCTATTACCTTACCAGTCCTAAGTGCAAATGCCGACTTATTCAAGGGGGTCGGGGGGAGAGCGGGAGGGGACCAAGCAGAAGCCAGGAGTCCTTGTTGGCCCCGAGCCCCAGGGAAACACCAAGTGGCCCTGGGAAGCCCAGGATATGGCAATACTTACCAAAAGTCCGGTGAAGATTCTCTGAAAAGAACAAATGAAAAATCAACTTAGTAGAGCCTCAAAGAGGCTACTTTATTTTCTTAGTTGTTATTTCATCACCTAAAATTGGTTCTAGTTGGCCCGGCCTCGTGATTAGGAGAGCCAGATTCCACATGGTTAACCACATCTGAAATCTCAACCTCAGTGGCTTGAAATGCACGCTGGGCATAAGCGCATGCATGAGAAGGATCCCAGCAGGCTGGAGAAATGGAGAAGGGATTGTGGCATGGATTCCCCACTGAGGGGTGCTTACTCCCTTTCTCTCGCTCTCTTTGCTGAGTAAGCATGTCTTCTGACAAGAGAATTTGTTCTAGTCATAACACAATAGAGGAAGAGAAGCTGTAGGATTTTATATCTACCTCTAACTCCTGGCTGGTAATAGAAATTTTTAAAAAAGAATTATAGAAATGGAGAAGGGATTGTGGCATGGATTCCCCACTGAGGGGTGCTTACTCCCTTTCTCTCGCTCTCTTTGCTGAGTAAGCATGTCTTCTGACAAGAGAATTTGTTCTAGTCATAACACAATAGAGGAAGAGAAGCTGTAGGATTTTATATCTACCTCTAACTCCTGGCTGGTAATAGAAATTTTTAAAAAAGAATTATTCTCTCTCTCAATATATAAATATATATATGTATTTTTTTTTTTGCTATTTTGCTTTTATGTTCACCAGAGAGAGAAAGAGAAGGAGAATGAGAAAGGAAGCTGTCTGGCCTGGGATGCAAACTGCAGTTGGCCACATGAGAGTCCAGCACCTTAAGGACCACGCCACCCACTGCTCCCCATAATAAGAACTGTAAATAATGAACTTCCCACCTGAAGGGGGCACTGAGTACCGGGAAGGCCATTTCAGTTATGCCAAGAGACTGAAAGGGAGGAGTTGGGGGGGAAGAGCGCCTGGAACTCACCTATCTCTGCTCGAAGTTTTCCTAAAAGAGAAAAAAGACAACATTTTCAGTTCCCGCTCTGGACTAGGTGGGGGCCCTTCTCCAGCCAGCCCTCTGGGCCCATGCGCGGGTCGTTTCTCTGCAGTCTGGGAGACAACCTGGACAGAGTGGGAAGAACACTGGTTTTGGAGCCAAGCGTTCAGATTCTCCCCCCAGTTATTGTCTCGGTTAAATATAGGAATTAAGGATGCAAAGAGCCTCAGTAAACAGCAGTGCCCGAACCACCCTGGGGTTTTATCGTTCCCCCACTTGTCTTTGCTTCCTCTCGGTAGTTCTCAGGTCATACTGCCACTCCGTCCTGCTGCTGTCACTTTGTAAACCTGGAGCTGCTTCCCATCCGAAGGGGAAGAGGAGCTGGCCAGTGAGCTGGTCAGTGAGCAGCCACTTTGTAGCCAGCTCTGCACTTGACACTTGGATGACACTTGGCCTCTAATCCCCTATAACTTAGAAGGGAGGGTGTTATCTTTACTTGACAGGCAGGACAACCGAGGCTTGGGCTCGCAGAACCTGCGTTTTGCTGAGTTCATTGCCTGGGATGGAACTCGAACCCGGGTGGCCCAACGCTCAGGCTGCTGGGTCTCTGCTCAGCTATGTGGGCTGAAGGCCTTGAGAAATAACCCGACGTCTGGGATGAATTCAGTGCGAGAGTAAAGGCCTCACTACTGACCCCACAGTGAGAATCCCCCTCTGCCCTCCTGTGCCCTTCCTGCTGTTTCCACCCTCTGGAGTGGGGAGGAGGGAGCTAAAGGGCCCCCGTGCTTTGAGGTCGGGGAGAACGCTTGATCAAGGGAGAAGCTCAGAGCGGATGCTCTGGGCCCAAGAGACGGAAGGCTGAGCTCAACTCCTCACTGTTGACTGGAAAAGAAGGGGGAAAGCATTTCTGAGTAACTACCATGTGGTGGGGACTTTCATTCTGACGTCTTCCTTTAAAACCCCCAGCCTGGTCCTGTCTGACTTGGGAGCTCCTTTCCCGGTTGCATACATCTTAGGTATGGGACAAGGGCCTGAGCTCTGCTACTTTACAAGCCGTGTCGCTGCGAGTATGTCACTGAACCTCTCCTGGCTGCAGTTGCCCCTCTGTAAAATGAGGCCTTGTATGCCAGGCTTACCTTAAAAGGAAGTGCAAGGTCCTATTAGCCATATGAAAGCATTCACATGGAACATTTTGGACTTCTGAACTCACAGGTGGACAGGTCTTTCAGGGAAGGATTCTGATCTGCCCTCTGCCCCATACCTCGCAGTCTGCGCTGCAGACAGAGGAAGACCAGACCCACAGTGATCTGCAGGAAGAGCACAGGCAGAACGGCGATGAGAACCAGCACCCCGGGGTTGATCCAGTAGAAGGGATCTGAAAGGCAGAAGCAACAGTGCACGGTGCTGGCTGCTGCTGGATGCGCTACACCACACGCAGTGCCTGGGGCTTGACAAATCAGATTGAGAAGTGAATGTCGAGGCCAGCAAGTGGCATGGTGGTTAGGGTGCTGGCCTCCTACAGAGGCGACTGTGGTTCGCGTCCTGTACCTGGCAGCTTGCTTTCTCACTTTCTCTCTCCCTGTTGAACACACAGGTCCTATAGCAAATTAAAAAATAATGACAAAATTAAATAAATAATTGTTTTAAGAATTATTTTATTTAACTTTATTTGTTATTATTATTATTTTCAAATGTGACCAGAGAGCAAAAGGGAAAGTGAGAAAGCAAGCCACCAGGTCTGGGACTTGAACTATGGTCAGCCCTGTGAGAGTCCAGCACCTTAACCACCACGACACCTGCTGGCCCCAATAATTCTTAAAAATAAAGAAAGAAAGAAGTGAACATTACAAGTTTCAAAGATAGTAGCCCAGGGATCAGCAGTTAGCGTAATGGCTATGTCACTGGACTCCCATGTAGCCGACCGCGGTTCGAGTCTCAGATCTGGTGGCTTAAACTCACGCCGGGCGCGTGTGCGCGCGTGCCCAAGATCCCGAGAGGAGAATGGAGGAGAAGGGATTGCAGCGTGGCCATCCCCCCTGGGGGGATGATTTCTTGCTTTCTGTCTCTCTGTCTCTCTCTGTCTTTCTGGCGAGCTTACTAGCCCTATAGGCA